GCCACGAATGATCTCCCCCAGCGGTTTTACATAAATATTGAACAAAAGGGGAGAGAGGACCGACCCCTGAGGGACCCCACAAGTTAGGGGTCTAGGAGTCGACCTCTGTCCCCCTGCCAATACAGACTGCGTGCGGTCGGTGAGGAAGGAGGAGAACCACCGCATAACGGTGCCTCCCACTCCTAACTCACCGAGACTTCAAACAATCAGCAAAGAAATGGTTTGTAGTCAAGGATTCTCTCCACAGCCCTTTAAAAATAGCCCAGAATAGCCCCCAGGAAGGGAACCCACCGAGGTCAAAATTGTCCTGCAACTAATCTCCAAAACTGGCCCAATTGGGTAGAAAAACTGCTCAGCTGCCAAAACTCTTCCCATTTCAACTGAATCCCCAAACTCCCCCCCCCCAGGCAGAGTTTGGCTTTTCAAGGAAAGAAAATGGCACTGTTGTATTTTTGGTTTACCCTAAAGTTACATTCAGTCTGCTAAAGTGTTGCAAACTCAGAAGATAACTTTGGGAATCGTTGAACTCAGAATAAAACCTCTCACTCCACTGAAGAACGTTCTGGCCTGGAAATACTCAACTGGTTCCTAATCCAACCTTTATTAGGGTCAAAGACGTCAGAGTGGGGTTCGCTCTATGAAAAAGCATAACAAATATTGCAAATTAAAAGATGGGTTTGACTATACATGGATGTAGTCCCAGTCCTGGCACTCAGGGCTGGGAGTCCCAAGCTGGCAGAGGAGCCCCAAGAGACCCCAGGAACCACCTCAGAGCTCTCTCTGCCCAGAGGAAGGCAGTGCCAGGAAGGGCCAAGATCCTGTGCAGAAACTTCAATCTCTCCGGCCTGTGATGGAAGACACAAGATTGAGGAAGAGACACACCTGCCACCTCGGGGTGTGTGTGTGTATGTGTGTGTGTATTCTCTGAAAGCAATGCCTAAAAAGGGAGAGCAGCCTTAGATGTTATAGGGCACCCCAAATCTACCCCAGTCTGAAGCACCCCGAAAGGCTGGGAAAGGTCTCCTCTCCTTCCTCCCCCCTTCCTCTTTGGCAGGGCAGAACAGGGGGGCGGGGAACCTGAAGAAATACATTTGGGAAAAGCATTATTTGAATACAAATATTTGAAGTCAAACAATAATAATAATAATAGAGTTGGAAGGGACCTTGGAGGTCATCTAGTCCATCCATATGCTCAGGCAGGAGACCCTATTTAGGGGTTGGCAACCTTGGCTCTTTTATGACTTGTGAACTTGAACTCCCAGAAATCCTGAGTCAGCATGGCTGGTTCAGGACTTCTGGGAGTTGAAGTCCACGAGTCAAAAGGAGCCAAGGTTGCCTACCCCAGCCCTAGATCGTTTCAGATGAATGGCTGTCCCATCTCTTATTTAAAACCTCCGGTGTTGGAGCATTCACAGCTTCTGGAGGCAGGTAGTTCCACCGGTTAACAGTTCTCCCTGTCAGGAGATTCCTCCTTCCTTCCCCGGCCAGCCTCCCTCCGTCGCTGCTCCTCCCGCCTTCAGGGGGGGCTTCGGGGAAGAGCTGGGCCCCCTCCTCTTCGGGGCGCCCCCCCAGATATGGGAAGGCTGCGCTCACCTCCCCCCGCCCTTCTCCTCACCTGCTCCGACCCCCCCGCCCGGGAGAGGGGCTGCCTGGGGGCCGCGGGGGGAGCCTGGCAGGAGCCCCCCAGGAGGAAGAAGGCAGGAAGCGCCCCCGAAGCTCTCCCCCCGCCCTGCCTAGGGAGAGACCCCCAGTATGGGGAGGGGGGAGGGAGGAAGGGGTGGAGACGCAGCCCAGGGAGGCCCCTCAGCTCGAAGCCCCTCGGCCCATCTCCTTGCGGAAGACAAGCTTCGCTACTACGCAGGCGCCAACTGGCTTATTCTAGGAAGCAGGCTGTCGATTGGTCGCTCTGGGGAGGGCAATGATTGGCAGGAGGACTCCTCGGGGCGGTCCATTCAAAGGAAAGAGGAAGAGCAACCAGGAAGAGACCTCGCAGCGAAGTCCCGCCTCCACTTCCGTAAACAAATAGAACTGAGGCGGCCTAATTGATTCGGCTGTGGACGGGCTCGGACCCAGGTAGGGCGCAAGGGATGCTGGGAGTGGCAGTCCGAGAGGCTCTCCGGCGGGGAAGGGAGGGGGGAGCCTGAGGCCTGGTCTGACGGGACGGGCGCAGGGAGGGAGGCCGGCTTCCTCTCGTTCTTGCCCGGAGAGTCTCACTGACAGGCGGAGGCTTCGGCCTTCTTCTCGGGCGGGGATGGGACTCCCTTCCGGGTAAGGGACGAAGCCGTGACCGCCTCTCCTCCTCCCCCTTCGCCCCTGCAGGAGGACGGGCGAGCCCGGCGAAGGAAGGAAGGAAGGAAGGAAGGAAGGAGGCGCCGCCCGAGAGGAGAGGAGGCCCCGCGGAGCAGCCCCGGGAGGAGACGGCGGGGAAGGCCCGGCAGGGATGAGCCGAGGGGGACTCCGGGAAAGGAGGCCGCCTGGAGGGAGAAGCGGGGAGCAGGAAACGGGCGGAGACCCCGAGACGGGCCTGGAGGGCGGAGG